TCTTTCTGCACTTTTGCTGTAGACAACGCCCTGTGCTTTTTGCCCTTGATAAGCTCTGTGAGACAAGATACCTGCACTGTGGTGGGACAGTGCAGAGCTGATAACTAGGCCCATGCCATACCTGTAAACAAACTTCCAGTCGCTTGTGGGTGAGGTTCATCGTCTGTAGTAGCTTTTCATCTTGGTTGGTGGACTGCACGTTCTGTTGCTTAGCTACTGCTCTTATTTCTTTCACATACTTCTCTCTAACAGACTGGAACCAGTGCAGAGAATCGAACTCCTGGTACTGATCCAAAAGCTTCAGAATGTAAGCCACACCTACAGTCGTTAACAAACCACGCACCAAGGTCAACACACAATTTGTAAAACGTTTGTGCATGTCTTTAATGGATCAGCCTAAGTTGATAATTCCCACACAGATAAAATGTAAATTGCATTTAATTTACAATTAAATCTAACAGGAAAAAAAAATCATAGTAAAAACAAGCTTCAATTTTTGAAAACCTCACAACTTATCCAACGGCTTGCTTACCTTCCCAGCCGCGGAGACGTACAAGCTTGGAAAGAAATCAGGGAGCATCAACACATGACAAAACTGGCAGCCCCCATACTCAGCTATTCCAGGCTTACGAGATTCTGAACACAACAACAGCCCTCAAATCCACTGTGCTGAAGCCAGGAGAACCCAAATTTAAAGTTACAGGGTTTTTAATTCCGGGAACACACAAAATAGGAACAAAACTTTTCTTGCAAATACGCGTTACACTGGCTTACCCGAGGCTAGTCAGCATGCCGAAACTTACCCATGGCAAACCCGTCATCAGTGAAAGCTGCTCCACTTTTGTTCTTCTTATTCAATTTCTCCTTGCAACTGATGGAATGTTCTACAAAATTGAGGGTCTGAAAGAGTGAGAAGCTGCCTTGGAATCATCAGGACTCAGAAATTTTAAAAGGTATTCACATACACACTGTTACCTCTGAAGATAATCCCATGCCCAAAACCGTGCTAATTGCATTAGGCATTTTTGTATGAAAACTTGTCCTTTTGCTAGAGTTTTTTTGGAAGAAAGTAAGTTCAGCTTTGGAAAACACTTACATAAGTAAAAAAACAATGGTACATCTTCATCTTTGCTGTCAGACTCTTTTACTTTGCATTCTTTTGATGATTACTAGAGGTAAACACGGATAATTAAAATAGCCCAAGTTCTTGGAAAGCTTAGTGGGATTAGTGTGTTACAGCTCCAGTACATGATTTCACTCCCTTTGGAAAACAGCAGAAATCTTTCGGTAGCCATCAGCTCAGAGTGATGCTGAACAACAGATCCAGGCAGCAGTGCTGAGCGACGGGTACGCATTTCCATGCAGTAGCTACTCTTGAGACACGGAAACGTGTGTACATGAACAACCCCTCAAAAATGTATGACAGTTTCAAATGTAACTCCACCAAAATGCCTTTTTAAAACTGGAACTCCACAAACGGGAAGGAGAAAGAACAAAAGGGGTTGTCACAAGCCTTTGCTTTCCCTCACTTCTACCACCATGACACCTCTGTCCTCTCACAGTCTTGTTTATGGCTCTTCAACATTCCCAGTTAGTTTCTAAACTGGGACTTTACACATGAATCCGTTTAGATCATTCAGGCCTTCCAAGTGAACTGCTTCCGAGTGCCCAGAATGCTGGGCTCAAGCGTGCCTCACCTCAATCCAGTCGGACCTTTTCCAAACAAGGCTTATTAGCAAAAGCAGGCCCAACTGCACGAGACAGGGCCCCCACTTTGCTGCATTAGAACATGACACTAAAAGAGCCTAAAGATTCCCAGTGTGATGCAGAAAGAGCACACACACAAGAGCCAAAAGAACATGACTTTAAACTCCCTTCATCCTTGCTTTGCCAACACTTCCCTTTTCATCTTGGCTTCCCCAAATTTAATTCAAGCCCGAGAAGAAGTTTTTAAAGTTACCTTTTGAGCTAGTACATGAACTGGGGTAAATAAAGAAAAACGTGGCTTTGCACAACTGTCACCCGAGCCACACTCAAAGCAATCCCGCTCCTTATCAGGGAAGAAAGTAGGACATGCAAACGGCCTAATGCAAAATGTTTGACCACAAACCCAATCTGATAAAATTTTTAAAAATCAAGTACTGGCACACAGAGTGCAAACACTAACCAGCGGGGGAACAATTATGTAGAAGTTCCGCAAGTGCATGTTCTTTGGACTGCGGAATTCGGGAGCAAATACGTCCACAAGCATCTTGAAGTACTCCGTTCCTTCTGCAAAGTTACGCGTGAGATCGCCGAGGACCGAGTCCAACTGCCTGCAAAGGAGAAGCAGTGTGTCACCTGGCTTCTGCTGGAAGTTTCTTTGCTTACTCACCCCCCAGGCTAACAACCCTCTCTTCACCCACAATCCTGTAGTTGGACCAGGGTACCCAAGGTGACACCCTACCTCTGCAGCCACCTCGAATCATGTTATAAACCAAACAGGGTCTCTGAACGGAATACTTGCATCTTGTTTTCCCAAGGCCCTGGTCATTCTAAAAGTAAACGTCAGCCACGTGGAGAGGAAGGCTTGCTAGGCTTCAAACCACGAGAATTTTAACCAGGAAACCAGATTCTAATAGGCTGTTAGTACACATGCCGCTTGGCATTTTCAGAGCTACTGTTTCTGTTTGCTTTGCAGAAGAGCAAACGTGTTTGCAAAAATTCAGCTGAGCTTTTAACACACACAACTAACAACTGTATTTACAGCTTCAAAATTACAATTCTCTCATCCCTGCCCCAGACCTCAAAAGCATTATGTGAGGGTACCTTGCTGCTTTTTGTGTTTCTTCTGAGAGTCCTTCTTCTTTCACCAGCTCCTCAAAGTTAACAATATCTTCCAGATCAGGAACGAACCTGAAAACTTACTGTGTGTTAGGAGTATGCTCAGCTGTCTCTGCTGACTGAATATGGCTATCTGCCACAACTAATGACCTACATTCTATTAACCCTTGACCAGTGTTTTCCCATAGAATTTGATTTTTAGGGGTTTATGGCAATGATTGTACAGGTATGAATTCCAGCACTGGTTTGGGTCATTCCACTTCAATGAGGCCGTAAAAATGGAACTTTTCAAAAAAATTATGGGATATGGGTAAGAATCTAGGGAATATCGGTATGAACAAGGAATAAAGGGATGAGAAGGAGCAAACAGAAAAAAATGAAATGTTTGTGGAAGTACCTAATTGCACTACTACAGCAGTGAAGTCCACCGGATCTTATCATTCGTACATAACCCATAGCGTTGCCTTTAAAAACAAGAAAGCCACTTTTAATTAAATACACACACATTCTTCATAGCTCCTATAAGGTCTGGAATGTCAACTAAAGTTGCTACACAGTTCTAGCAAGGAAACTGTCTGAAAGCCAAGTTAAAAAAGTTGTGTTGAACCCCAGTATCAACGTCTGTATGGAGAAAGAGACCAGAAATGTGTTGTCCAGTCAGGCTGTGTTCACCTCTGCGATAGCCTAAGGGCCAAATAGCACAAATTCTGTCCACTGGGCACATTAAACGTTTCCAGGTTCAGATCAGTCCTGAACATCTGTGCTGGGTTCAGTCAGGAAAGCGTTAACTCTCTTTACCGTGGCTGCTAGGAAGCTGTTCCTGGATGCAGAGAGCAGCACTGATCAGGTCTCAGCTGGCGCTGGGGAATGCCTGCACTGAATTCAAGGTCTTTCTCCACTTCTGATCCTGCAGCTGCATTCCCAGCTCTCGCTGTCTCGCTACAGACAGTGCAGGGGACACACAGTTCAGGCACCTGACCCAAACTGACCAGGGAAGTATTTCATTCCATAGTACATCATGCTCGGGGCAGAGGCGAGGAGGGGGTCTGGGAGCCATCACTCTCTCCCTTACTCTCTCTCGTTCGCTCCCGTACACTTGCTGACCCTCTCCCTGACAGCTGCGTTAGCTGCTTTGCTCACTCCTGTGCTGGCTCGTTTGGGAGGGAGTTGGTGGGTTTGTTCAGTTTTCCTGGGCTTGCTATCGCTGATGGGGTTCGCTCGGAATCTGCTGTGGCAGCTGTTAGGCTCTCTGGGTCTGGCTCTCACT